TTTTTGTTCCAAATGAATTTTTGGATTGTTTTCTCCAGGTCTGTGAAGTATGCTGCTGGGATTTCAATTGGGATTGCATTGAATCTATATAGCAGTTTTGGAAGTGTGGACATTTTCACTATGTTGATTCTTCCTACCCAGGAGCAAGGGATGCATTTCCATTTTCTGATATCCTCTTGAACTTTTGTTTTCAGAGAAGATGTCTTTGATTTTTTTGGTTAGGTTGATTCCTAGGTATTTCAGTTTCTTAAATGCTATTGTGAAGGGAATTGATTGCCTCATTTCTCTCTCAGTAAGTCTGTTTTTTGTGTACAGAAAACCATTGATTTTTGTGTATTGACCTTGTATCCAGCTAATTTACTGAATTTGGTTATTAAGTCTAGAAGACTTTTGGTGGAGTTCTTAGGGTCTTCTACATAGAGTTTCATGTCATCTGCAAATAATGACAATTTGACTTCTTCATTTCCTATGTTTAGTCCTTTTCTTTCTCTTGTCTAATTTCTGTGGCTAATGTTTCCAAAACTATAAAGCACAGGAGTGGTGACAGTGTACACCCTTGTTTTGACCTGATTTTAGTGTGAAGGATTTCAGTTTTTGACCATTTAGTATGATATTGGCTGTTGGTTTTTCATAGATGGATTTTATCAGATTGAGGTAGAGATCATCTGTTCCAATTATGTGTAGGGTGTTTATCATAAATGCATGTTGGATTTTGTCAAATGCTTTTTTTTGCATCCATTGAAATGATCATATGGTTTCCGTCCTTTGCTCTATTAACATAGTGTATTACATTGATTGATTTGCATATGTTGAACCATCCCTGCATCCCTGGGAAGAATCCCACTTGGTCATGTTCTATGATCTTCTTGATGATCCTCTGCATTCTATTTGCCAGTATCTTATTAAGGATTTTTGCATCTATGTGCATTGGTGAGATTGGCCTATAGATCTCTTTTTTGTTTGGCTCTTTCTCTGCTTTTGTGATCAAGGTGATGCTTGCTTCCAGGAATGAATTCAGGAGTATTGCTTCCCTTTCAATTTCATTGAAGAGTTTAAACAGTAGTGGCAGTAGTTCCTCCCT